GCCCAATATACCGCCCATCGCATTATCAGCACAACGGGCACAAGGCGCGCCGTCGCGCCGTGGACGCTTTTGGTGACGGCCGTTTAATGCGGGAAGGGCTTACAATTGGCGACTGAGAGGATTTTTGGCTGGGGCTGCTGATGGGGGAGGGGGGAAGGAGGTGTAATCGCATTGGAGGGGAGAGGGATGGGGTGGGACAAGCGCTCGAGGTTGGCTGTCTTATGGATTTTTAGGTGAACTAAACATTCCAAAGTCTTTGAAAACCTCCCACCCCTTTCTCATTTGGAAAACCAGCTGACTCCTTTAATTTTATGGGAAATACGCCCCTCGTTCTGTAAATCCGGGGGTAATCCGGGGGTAATCTGGGGGTAATCCTGGGTAGTAGGTCATTACAGTATTTATCCGTAAAAGGCAAGTAGGGAAGAAAAGAAAAACCAAACCGGAAACAGTTTGTAAATCACAACTCCCCAACTAGGCGGTTGTCCTGCCTGGCGTGCCCCTTTGGCCGCAACCTTTTCTTGTACTGCGGTTCTGCAATCTGTTTCCTGTTTGGTTCTTTTCTTCCCTACTTGGCTGTAACGGACATAAACTGAAATTGTCTACGTAATCGGAAGGAATCCGGGGTTAGCTAGGGGTAATCCTATCCGTCCCAAGTCCGTTGTACGCGAGCCGTTTCCCCCCAGTCCGGGAGATCGGCCCGGCGACCCTTGGGGTGACCCCCGGGGTGAGTCGCTGCCCGCGAGGCTGCCCAGGGGCCCCGCCCGCTGCGCGCCGGCCCAGTCCGGTTTGGCTGCACGGTCGGCGCGCCCAAGCTGGCGACGCGGCCGGAGGCTGGCGCGCAGCCAAGGAGGCCCCGAGCTTGGGCGGGAGCGGCTGTGCACACCGCGCTGCCGGGGTGGCTCTGGCAGCTCTGGCTGGGCGCGCCGGGCTCTGGCCGCACTGCGCATGCGCAGCCCGCGCTCCGCAGCCCGGCTCGGCTGGCGGCGCAGTCGATAGTCCAGTCCGAACTAGTGCCTGCCGGTTACAGCCGTGCCCTGCGCCCAGGCTGCTGTTGCTGCTGCTGGTGCTGGTGCTCAGGTCTCGTCTCGCGTTGGACACCAGCCTCTCGTTGTCGAGCTGCAGGAGTGTGTGTCGCTGGTCGCGTTTCTCTCAGGAGCCAGGAGTTGGTGGTGCCTGCCTGTCGTGGTCGAGTCGAGGCAAGGCGAGCCTCCCGCGCCACCGCGCATGCGCCGCGTCGGCCTACTGTACGCGCGCCTGCCACGTATCGACCGGAGCCGAGCCAGCCGAGCCGGCGGGGCTGCACCTGGCCCCCCTCCACCACCTCCCGTCGACGCCGAGGTGCGGGCCGAGCCGCGGAGCGCGCGGAGCCAGCCATGGCCGACGGCGAGAGGCCGCGTCGCCAGAGCTACGACAACAAGGCCGTGAGGGCGGCGTGGCGCTTCAGGCCCAACAAGAGCGTGCGGCTGCTGCCCGCCCCCGCGCCCTCGGCAGGGGTGTCGCCCGGCGCCGCGGCGCGCTGGGCGCGCGGGCTGCCGCTCGGCGAGCGCCGCAGCGCCTGGAACAACGACGAGGTCTTCTACATGCTCAAGGTGTTCCGCGACAACAACATCCCCGTGCGCCTGCTCAACCGGCGCGAGCAGTCGTACACGTACAAGTCGGTGCAGCGCGTCATGGCGCTCAAGGGCTACTACAAGACGCCCGACGCCATCCGCACCAAGTGGAAGCACCTCAAGGCCTTCTACAACGAGGCGCGCCGGCGCGACGCCCCGGACACGTTCTCGCACTACCACCAGGTCGCCGAGCTGCTCGAGCCCCTGCGGCAGGCCGGGCAGGGCAACAGCAGCGACGAGTCTCCGGACAGGGGCCCAGCAGCCGACCCCCCGGCGGCGGCCGTCAGGGAGGTCGTCGCCGAGGAGGTGCCGCCCGCCGAGGACGTGGGCGGCAAGTTCGCGTTCGTCTCGCCTGTTCCGGCTGCCGCCGCCGTCCCCGCCGCCTTGGCCGCCCCAGCACGCACTGCGCCCGGCCCAGACTCCGTCACGGGGGTCTCATGGGACCCGCTCGTCGACGTGGAGGAGGTGGTCGTTGTGAAGGAGGAGGTCATCGTGAAGGAGGAGGTGCTGTCTGACGACGACGCGCCCGTTGCTGTGGAGAAGACCGCCGCGGCGCCCGCGGCACCCGCCTCCGTGGCCATCAAGCCTGCCCTGTCGACTCCACAGGCCAAGTTCCGCGTGGTCCCCAAGGCCCCCGGCGTACCCGGACGCCCGTACTACTTCGTCCTCCAGTCAGGTGTGTGAGCGTGTGTGTGTGAGCGTGCGTGTGGGCGTGTGCCACGCCGCCGGGCCACGCCCCCCGGCTGCGCTCTGACCTGCGGCACGCCTGACCCTCCTCAACCCGGCGGCTCCACGCGGCCGGAGCGCCGCCGCGCACGGGCCTCCAAGCGTGTGGGTGATTTATGAATGTGGCGGGCTTCCTCTGCTCCCTCTCTCCCTCTCTCCCTCCCTCTCTCCCTCTCTCCCTCTCTCCCTCTCTCCCTCTCTCCCTCTCT